AAAGCCTCAACTGATAAAAAAAAAAGAAAACAAGAATTCTTAGTTGGTGAGTTAGTTATGGTTCACATTAGCAAGGACAGAACACCTACTGGAACCTATTCAAAGCTGATACCAAGAAACCATGGACCTTTCAAAGTGCTGAAAAAGATAAATGACAATGCTTATGTCATAAAACTACCTGATAAGTACAACATGTCAAGATCTTTTAATGTCAGTGACATAAGGAAATACTTCCCTGCAGTTGAATCTGATGAGCAATTGAGGACAATTGCACCTATAGAAGGGGTGCATGATGCAGTAGAAGTTATTGATAGTCAAGTGGGCCCTAGTTGGCTTGACCTTGGTCAAGCCAACCCACGTTTCTCTTAAGGAGCCTTTAAACTCACATCAAATGGGTTGCCTATTTCCATTGATGTGAGTATAAATACAATAGGCCATGGAGGGAAAGAATTATTTTATCAAATCAAGGTATTCCTTCTTTCCTTCTTCCAGATATTGCTATTTTCTACAGTTTCCTTTTTTCTCTATTTCTAGATCTAAACCTAGAATTCTTGGTGGATTCCAAGTTTCTACACCCTACGAAGAAGATCATTCTCCCTTCTTCGACCTGTTTTTCCTAAATCTCTATCTTCTCCTACATCACTTTCCTTCTATACAAGCCTTCCAGCGATGTTCAAAATCAGCATCGCATCTTCATAATTATTTTTGATTTTTTCAAACTCTTGTACTTTATTTCTTAAAATAGTTAGCAAATTGTTTTTTCTACTAAGAGCATCTGCTACTCTATTGCTAGTCCCAGTTCTATGCTTTAAAGTGAAATGAAATCTTTGTAGAAAGGAGATCCACTTGGCATGCATTCTGTTGGAGCTTTTTGAACTATTTACTTGTTTTAGTGCCATATGGTCTGTTTTTATCACAAATTCATTCTGTAATAGATAAGGTTCCCATGTTTTCCAGGCTCTTACAACTGCATATAACTCGATCTTGCTCATAGGTAGTCCAATTTCTTCTTCCATCTGATAGTTTCTCACTGTGGAAGGCTATTGGGTGGCCTTCTTGAGTGAGAAAAACCTCTATTCTCATTATACTTGCATCACATTCAATTTCAAACACTTTTGAAAAATCAGGTAGTCTATGAACTGGTGCTTGCTGTAATTTTTTTAACACTATAAATGCCTCTTCTGCTTGGGTAGTCTATTGAAAAATACCTTTCTTGAGGCAATTTGAAATTGAGGCAGCCACTGTGTTAAAATCTTTTATAAATCTTCTATAAAATGATGCTAGAAATTTCTGACCTTAGTCACACTAGATGGGGATGACCAGCTGTCCAATGCTTCTGTTTGTTTTGGGTCTACCTTTAGACTTTGAGATCACACTATGTAGCCTAGAAATTGCACTTCATGTACTAAGAACTCACATTTTTGCAGATTTAATCTGAGATGATTATCAGCTAGTAGCTTTAAAACTTTCTTTAGTTCTTCCATATATGATTCTTTAGCCTTGCTAAATATGCGAATATCACCAAAATACACAACAACTAATTTGTTAATTAGAGGCTTCAGTACCTTTGTCACTAACCTCATAAAGGTTGAAGGAGCGTTAGACATACCAAATGGCATAACTAGCCACTTATAAAGCCCTTTTCTTGTCTTAAAAGCAGTCTTCCATTCATCTCCTTCCCTGATCCTGATTTGATGGTATCCACTTTTAAGATCCAGTTATGTAAAATACTTAGATCCCACTAGAACATCAAGTAATTCTTCTAGTCTTGGAATTGGGAACCTATATTTTACTGTTATTTTGTTGATAGTTCTACTATCAACACACATCCTCCAATCCCCATTTTTCTTAGGTACTAATAGTGCAGGGACTGCACAGGGGCTAATGGAGTTTCTGATAAGTTCTTGTAGTAATTCTTCAACTTGTTTCTGTAAAATTTCTGATTCAGCAGGGCTCATTCTGTAATGAGGAAGGTTTGGAAGTCATGCTCCAGGTGTTAGATCAATTCTATGATCTATCAGTCTGTGGGGTGGAAGTTCTGTTTTTTTCCTCTGTAACTGTAGAAAATACTCTTAATAATTCTGCCACTGATGCTGGAATGCAAGCTTTAGTTGATGCAGTCACCTTTTTCAAAATTACTGCTAATCCTTCCTGTTCAACACTTAATAATTTTTTTAATTCTTTTTGGCAGAAACCAACAAGTTAGGCTTTTCAGATGTGTTTCCTTCAGGTGGAAGTAGAAGCAATGCTACTTTCAGATAATCTACTTTAACTACATACTTATTGGTTCTGCCATTGTAGTGTGTACTTACATTATACTTCCATGGTCTTCCTAATAGCACATGAGCTGCATCCATGTTAACTATATCACATACAATTTCATCCTTGTATCTTCTACCGATGGACAAAGATACTTTGCAGCTTTTATCCACAGTTACTGAATTCCCACTATGAATCCATGAGACACTGTAAGGATCTTTGTGGTCTTCCACCTCTAAACCCAATTTCTTCACCGCCTTCCAAGAAATCAGATTATCAGTTGATCCATTATCTATTATAATATCACAGACCCTCCCCTTAATTGTGCCTCTAGTCCTGAATAAATTATTTCTCTGAATGTGCAATTCTTGTTGAGGTGTATGATATATTCTATCGATGATGCATGGCATTCTCTGTCTTTCATCTGGAGGTGTCTCATCATCATACTCATCATCAGAATTATCTTCATCCATGGGTGCTTTTCCTTTGTCATCAACTACATGTGCACTTCCTTTCTTAGGACAAATGTTAGACTTGTGACCCCATTCACCACATCTGTAATACTTAATATTAGTGTTTCTTTGATCATAGCCTCTGTTAACTCTAACATCTTGCTGACTTTCAGGATTGATTTTCCTCTCTTCAGGTGTTGGCAGTATACCTTTCTCATTAGGTGGGTTGAATCTAATGTTGGATGGGCCTCCAACATTTTTTATAAAATTTTCAGCTCTTCTATCCAACTATCAGCCACTCTGATGGTGTCAATGAGAGTTTATTGAGGCTGCACGATTAATTTTTCTTGGAATTTGCCCTTTGATCCTTGAACAAATCGTGCTATCAGTTGCTCCTCTGTTTCATTCAAATTATAACTCTTTAGCATATTCACTTACACTTTTATTACCTTCGCAGCACTGATGGTATTGAATATATAGGATACCCTCGTAGTCATTAGGAAGAAATCTTTGTTTTAACAATTTCTTCAATTTTTCCCAAGTCCGGACAAGTCTTTGATTTGATCTCTTCCTATTAGTTACTGTTTGATCCCACCAGGAAGATGCAATGCCTTTAAACCTCAGCACTACCAACTTTACTTGTTGGTCTTCATCAATGTCCATGTAGTCGAAAAATCTTTCCACTTCAATTATCCATTAGAAATTCTTCAATGTGTGTAGATCCATTGAATGTGGGTAAATCCATTTTCAGCTTGTAATGGTTTTGATTTCTTTTGAAATCTCTTGGGGCAGCCTCAAAAAATTCGTTCTCATCCATTTGTTCTCTTCTTGTTCTTTGATAACACAATCTCCTTTGGTATGTTTGTTGACGAGGAATATTTAGTCCCTCATATTCATCCTCATAAAGCTCAGAAAATTGGTCCACATATGTGTTTGCTCTTCTCTAAAAATTGTGTTATTGCAGGTCCGCCGGCCGGCACTCCGGTGAACGTTGATTAAATGGATTATTCTTATCTGTTTGCTGTCGGTTTCTTCTCTGATATTTTCTAAATGGTTCTTCTGGTGGGTGACGTTGATATACACCCCCTATTTCAAGCATCTCGTTGCCGACAGGATCAACATTTCTGGCGGTTGTCGGACTTCTAGTTGTTCCCGTTGCTCCATGGGAATCAACGTTTTACGGAGATCCTGGAAACCATCGCGCATTGCCTTTGTAAGGTCGGCAATGGCCTTATTTGTCGCCTCCCATTCTTGCCTTGTCTTCTTGCCTTGTCACTCGGTCGTCGGCCATCTTCTCAAAAAAAAAAATGATCGTGAAACCTTGAATCTGATACCAGCTGATGTAGGAGAAGAAGTAGATTCAGAAAAACAGTTCGAAGAAGAGAGGATAATCTTCTTCGCAAGGTGTAAGAAAGGTAGAAACTTTGAATCCACCAAGGTTTCTAGGTTGAGATCTAAAATTAGCAAAAAGGAAATTGTAGAAAAGAAAGGTAAGAGCAAAAAGAGAGGGAAGATTAAGGATAATAGTATAATACCTTGTTTGGATATAATTTCAATAACTGCCTTTTCCTTCCTTGACCTATTATATTTATATTCACATTAATGGTAATAGGCAACCCATTTGATGTGAGTTTGGATATAGTTTTCTTTTAATTTAGTGGTTAATATTTATGGTACTTGTGTGTTATTACAAATTAGTTAGCCTGGATTTATTCGAGTAAACTAAATATTTTTCATTATTCATTATTTCACTATTATCCAAGCAACGTTGCCTGGATATGGGTCGTCACGAATACCATAGGTTATGAGAAAAAAAGATAAAATACGAAAATGAGTCGCATAATCAAATGATGGAAAATCTGTATATACATCATCCATCAAGTTTGGAAATGGTTTGATTCGTCTATTTTGTCAAATATATTTCAAAAAATTGGAACACTTACATTTGGATATTTTCCGTGAGCTGAGCCGAGCTTTTGCTTATAGAACCGGACTTGGGCTCGTTGAGATATCATATGGACTTGGGCTCAGGCTCGGCTCGGCAGATATTTTCCAAGCTCGGCTCATCAGATATTTTCCAAGCTCGGGCTCAGGCTCGGCTCGTCAGATATTTTCCAAGCTCGGACTCAAGCTTTAGCCCGCGAGCTCTCACATGGAGGATCGAACCCGTGACATCTCACATGCTTAACAAATGATTTACTATCTGCGCTACACCTCCATTCTCTCTAAATTTAATATTTTTTTAGTTTTTTATACTTTCTGGACTCGAATTAAAAAAATAATTATTTGTAGACATGAAGGATCGAACCTATGACTTTTCAAATATTAAACAAACCTTTTACCAACTATACTACACATCTATTCTCTCTAAGTTTAATATTTTTTTAATTTTTTATAATCCTTACCGAGCCCATCGAGCTTAACGAGCTAGAGGCTAGGGCTCGCGAGCCCGAGCCGGGCTTTATTTGACGCCCTAGTCAAATGGTCTTAATTATTTCAATTAGTATCCAAAAAATGGTCTCAATTAGTCATAAAAACACATTATTTCGATCTATTCATATTCAAACTAATAGCTATAATGATAAGTTGTCTTCTGGCTGATTGTTTGGAGGAGTTGGTGATGTTTTGTGATAATCCAAACTTCATGGGATACTGTTCAATCATCAACATCTTGATCCACTCAAGTTCGGAGGTCGTATCTATCAGAGAATTTTCAATACCAAAATCAATCCAAAACAGAGTAGTAGAATCAAGAATGAAAATTACTTCTAAACAACTAGTCATACAGTATTTATAACAAAGGTCTATTACCTATAACTAAAAAATCTAAACTAACTAATTAACTATATTACTTATTATAACAGCTAATGTACTATTAACTCTAGATTGACTCTAACTATATATAACTGTTGTAGTGTCTGAAATCTGCAGTGTAGTTTAGCTAAGATGTAATAAAAACCCAGTGTGCTTTAATTTTTTTGCATCTTTTGAACAATTCTGGGGAAACCTTTCTTTTGTTATCCTGTCCACTCATTCTTGTATCCAGTACTGCTATAGGATAGATAATTGGTTTATTGCTAACTTAAACCATGATATCATTTGTAGGCTGGTTTTCAGGAATTGGGCGGGCCATAAAATTTCTTCAATCTGAAAACATGAAATGTATCGTGTATTTTTCTGCCTTTAGGTAATCTGATTCATAAGATTTCTTCAATCTGAAAACATGAAATGTATCATGTATTTTTCTGCCTTTAGGTAATCTGATTTTATAAGCAGCTCTGTTGATTTTCCTCTTTATTTCATAGGGGCCGAAGTATTTTTGGCATAGCTTATTATGAGTTATGTTAGCTACTGTGGTCGGTCTGTAGTGTTGTAATTTAACCAGTACCCATGTTTCATCTTCATACACAACATCAGATCTACTCTTGTCAACTTGATGCTTCATCCTAGCTTGAGTATTTTCGAGATTTTTCTTCATGGTAGCTAGCATTCATGAATAATAAATTTGATTACCAAATTTATTATATCAGTAATCAGCATTCATCTGCACAATTTGATTATATCAGTAATCAAAACAGAGGAGAGAAAAAATTCAATCAGTAATAAATAAAAAACAGAGGAGAATATAGTATATGCAGACAAAGAATATTTCTTCAATATTAGCATAAACCTGCAAAGCAAATGTGATATTACATTTTCTGAATTAAAAAAAAAATCTGAACACAACAGTAATCACTAATTAAATTGACTATTCAGTAATGTGATATTGCAAATGTGAATAATTCGCAATCACTAATCAGTAAATATCACACCTCAAAATCGCAATCACTAATCACCAAATTAGCAGATCTCAATCAGGAGAGATCGCAATCAGTAATCAGATAAGAATCGCAAGATCACAAGCGACGAGAAATTAAATCGCGATTTCCCAGAAATTAAATCGCAAACAGATCACAAGCGGATCCAGGGAATACAATAATATCCAGATCGCCAACACCTCTTTCTTCTGTCGGGGATTTCCACTAATAGGGAATAGACGAGTGCCTGATCGAATCGATCAGACCGCCATGTAGATCACGAACAAGTTCAAAAAAAAAACTGATCGCGAACAAGTTCTGAACGCAATCGAGTTAATCAGATCGCGATCAAAACCTAAACAATCAATCGATTTCAAAACGATTTCTGATCAAAACCAATCGAGTTCAAAAAAAATCTGAAAACGCAATCAAAATAAGAATCGAAAACGCAATCAGAGAACACAATCAAAACAAGAATCAATATTTTCTAATCAAACCAGTAATTTTCTTCTTTCATTCTCAGATTATTATTTTAATTGGTTATTTTCTATTTTTTAATCAAACCAGTAATTTTCATATTTCATTCTCATTTCTTGTTTTCAATTGATATTCTCATTTTCATAGCATTTACAGTGATTCTTCATTTAATTCTACTTCCTGCATTTCATTGAGTTCCTGTGAATGTAGATTTCAGATGTCTTAACTTTTCTGTCATTAAGTTCCACTTTAGGAAATCATTTAAATATTTCAGATGATCTCTCTGTTAGCAAGATTAATTACACTCTTTATCTTTGTTAACCATAGTTAGATATTCTCTCTAGTTAATTAGTATTAGTGGTTAATTAGTTGTTAAGTCATGATATAAATACTAGATAGATATCGTTGTGGATTATTGATTTGAATTCATTCTATGAAATACATTTCTTGTTCTTTGTTTGCTTGATCGTTGATCTGAATATCCAAGAGTTGAAGTATTTAACATGGTATCAGTTGTAGCTCCTCTTGACCATCCGATCTCTTCAGCACGGTGATAACAGGAATCTTCCTCTTCTTCTTCTCCCACTCACGGCGATTTCTTCTTCACAGAAAATTTTCAGCACGGCGATCTGTGTGTGATTTAAGCAGATCATCTTTCCGCGATTTTATTTTGGGGCAGAAGATTTGAGCAGGCGATTTCAATCTGTTCATGTCCGTCAGTGTGGAAATCGTTGTATGATCAGTTTTGGCGATTTCAGTTGCCGATTTGGGGCAATCTCCTTGAGAAATTGCACGATCTGTGGCAAGTTCAGTTGCACGATCTGTCAAGAAATTGCAGAATTGATATTTCTGTGATTTCTGTCAGAACACGACCTGGCAGTTGTGATTTTTTAGCATTTTCCGATTTGTGCTTCCGTGATTTCAATTTTTTCTTCTTCTCTCAATGATTGCTGGCTTCCGGATCTGTATATTAGCTTCTTAATAATTGTTTATAGTGAAGGTTCCTCTTCATTGTCAAACCATTTTGACGAACTTCATAAGTGCAATGTATCACACTGGATTAGGGTTCCTTTAGAGAGTGGTGGAACATATCTCTTTTGGAAATCTCAGATGGAGAATCTTTTTAAGATTCATGATGTGTCTGATATTATAGATCCAAAGACCGTTACACCAGAAGAAAAGAATCCTGATGGAAGTGACAATCCGTTATATTATATCTGGAGAAAGAAGAATTTCATCATTTTTGGATGGATTCAAGCCGTTGTTGGCTCGTCAATGTTCTCCCTTGTGTTAAATCATGACAGTGCACGCGCCTGCTGGGAGAACCTTGATCTTCACTTATCGCCAAGAAAAATTTTCCACTCACAAAGCTTAAGGGATGAGCTTAGAATGATGAGGAAATCTGGCTCCGAGGGCATGGCGGAGTATGTTATTGATGTTCGTGCTCTTATTGACAGTTTGACTGCTGCTGGTGATCATCTCGCAGATAGAGATAAGATTGATTTCATTTGTGATGGTTTGGGTGCTGAGTATCGCCCGTTCATGTCATCTATCCACTCACAACCGAATCTTTTGTTTGAACAGTTCATTCATCTGATTATTAGAGAAGTTGCATTTCTAAAGCGTCATCTTCAAATTAACCCAAAATCTGATGATGCTTCTGGTGCTGCCTTTGCTGCAAAATTTCATTTTGGACGTGATTTCAGAAATGACCACAGGGGCGACCCAAATTATTACAAGAAAACTGAGTATAAAAATAAGAAAGAAAATTCCAACCCTAATCAGAAAAGAAATGATTCATCAAAGAATCGATAGAGGAGATCTAAGAATCCTAATTCTTCTATTATTTTTCAGATCTGTGAAACACCAGGTCATTCTGCCAAGACCTGCAGAAAAATTCTTAAAGCCCTAACTGTTGTTGTTACTGACGATTCTTCAGAAGGGAATTGGATTTTAGACTCCGGAGCATCTGCTCACATGACTCCTGATCTCGATAATTTATCAGAGACTCAGGAGTACTCAGGTAAATCCTTTATAATAATTGGTAATGGTTTAGGCTTACACATATCACATATTGGAAATTTGAAAATTAAATCTAAATTTTGTGATTTAAGACTCAAAAATGCTTTATGTGTTCCAAAATTAAAAATGAATTTGATTTCTTTACAAGCAATGTCTAATAATTTAGATTGTAAAGTTATATTAAATGGTAATAAGTTTTCAGGAAATGACAATAAATCTGGAAAACAGATTTTAAATGGTATTGGATCAAATGGTTTGTGTGTTTAAACAGGATGATAATCTTAAATGTAATGTATCAATAGTTAAACATAATGCACATCCTTCTGTTTTAACAATACCATATAACATATGGCATATGAGATGTGGGAATCCATCATCTCAAATAATTTCTGAACTATTTAAAATACATAAGATTAAAACAAGTGAATGCAAAGAAAAATGTATTGTGTGTCCAATGAATAAAATGAAAAAAATGCCCTTTAAATCTAGAATAAAGTATAGCAACAGGCCATTAGGAGTAATTCACATGGATGTATGGGGTCCTGCCCCCATTCCCTCAATTCATGGTCGTAAGTATTATTTACTTATAGTTGATGAATATTCAAGATTTTCATGGTTTTATCCTTTAAAAACTAAGGATGAAGTTTTTGAGAAATTTAGAGAATTCCAAAAGCTGATTGAAAACTCGTTGGAGTGTAAAATTATAACAATACAATCAGACTGTGGTGGTGAATTTTTGAATGCTAAATTTAGTAATTTGTGTAAGAAACATGGAATTAAATACAGATTGTCTACTCCATTCACTCCTGAACAAAATGGTTTGGTAGAAAGGAAACATGGACATCTTGTGTCAATGGCAAGGTGTTTCTTCTTTCACTCTGAAATTTCAAAAGACTACTGGGTAGAAGCTTGCAGTGCAGCTGTGTATACTCTAAATAGATTACCTTCCAAGAAATTAGGTTATAATTCACCTTATTCCTTGTTATATGATAGAGAACCAGATATTAAATATCTTAGAGTGTTTGACTCACTATGTTTTCCTCTCATACCTAAACATTTAAGAA